ATATGTTTGCTAATGATGCAGCTTCTTCAAGAGCTGAATGCATAAAAAAAACTCACAAAGATATAAAAGAAAGAATTGAAAACAAAAATTAAAAATGAGTCACGCGCAAGAACCAAGAAAGAAAGAAATTGATTTTTAAACAAGGTGACTGGGTTTGGGTTCATCTACGAAAGGAAAGGTTTCCAAATCAGAGAAAGTCTAAACTTCAACCAAGAAGAGATGGTCCTTTCCAAGTACTAGAGCGGATCAATGACAATGCATACAAACTAGATCTCAGAGGTGAGTATAATGTAAGTTCTACTTTTAATGTGGCTGAGTTGACTACATTTGATGTAGGGAATGAAGATCTTGATTTGAGGACAAATCTTTCTAAAGAAAGGGAGGATGATATGAATTCAACTACTAACCCTTTGCATGTACCCAAAGGACCGATTACAAGAAGCAAGGTTAAGAAGATACAAGAGGCTTATACATTGCATCTTCAAAGGCTATCTAGTGTACAAGTTGGAAAAAAAAAACTTTTGAGCCCAAAAATCTTTATAGCATTAGCATATCAAATTAAGAAAATAATAGAGTAGCTGACATTGGAAGGTGATTAGAAGATTTTGCCTTTGGTAGTTGAACTACCAATTAAGACAATTTATGTTTGCCTTATTTTCTTCAATTTGTGTTTACAAGTTTTTATTGGTAGTTGTAATTTGTAGTTGGTAGATGAACTTCATTATATTTGGGTTATCTCGTTGGCCTATTTAAAGCATGTAATATTCATGCTAGAACATTGTTGTATACAAACAAAACCTTTGTGTTTTCTTGATACCTTTTTGGTGTTATTCTTTTTCAAACCTTGCTTTAGGTTTGATGTTTAAACTGATTCATTGAATTAGTTTTGATCAAGCTAATTCTGGAGTGAGTCATCATAGAATCTTAGATTCCAAGTTCAATCTAAGAGTCATTCATCTTTTAACCCGCTCTTGGTTGTAATCAATTCGTTAAGTTAGCTTTCTTTATGAACGTTTGCAAGGATTCTAGAAGAACCTCTAGATTTGCAAAATCCAGCATTGTTGGCGCTTATCAGAACCATTCTCAAGAACCAAAAAGACTGAGCTGAGGGAAGCTCTATGAGTCACTGAAATGATAGTAGGAGGGTCCTTGATCTATCAATAGAGGAAGCAAAAAAGGGGGCTTGCTCCTCTTTACAATATGAAGAAAGAAAGAAATTACACACTAGTTGGACCTAGAGAAAAGATCATGAAAGAGGCGATCAAAATGGTACTCGAATCCATTTACGATCTCGAGTTTCCAGACACAAGAAGTGTTTTCACACCATCGATCGACATTGACTCATCTCAATCTTGAAGGAAGAGATCGACGATCCCAAGTTCTTTTACTCCATTTAGAAAGTCTTTTCTATCGAACGACTCATAGGAGGTGAGAAGGGCCCTTACTACTCCATCCCACACAGTGTACTACTATCGGCCCTACCAGGCAACATCTACCTACACAAGTTCGATCAAGAGATAGGGAGGATTTGACAGAAGTACGAAATTCTTATTGTTCAGAGAATCAGATCGATTCTATTAAGGACAGGTCGTATTGATGACCAATCAAACTCTGGAGAAGAAGCAAGCTTCAACACTCCCCAAGACTACAGAGCCCTCATTATGGGGAGGGTAAAGAGCTTCCAATGCAAAGCGGCCTTTCATTCCCTTGTTTCGTCATGGCACTCCCCACACACAAGCACCACCCGACTTAGGGGGGACCAGAAACGCCTTTCAGTTTACCCCCGGGCCTTGCCACCTTCCTCATAGGAGCCACCGGGTTGACCTCTCAGGCTGAATTCTATGGTCGAGAACGCTGTAATAAGAAATTGGCCCTTGCTTAACTCCTTGTTCTGTAAACCGGTTGCTGGTTGATCTGATCAGACCCAGGACACGTGAGAGCCCAGCCCGAGAGGATGGAAAGGACAAAAGAAAAGGCCTGCTGATAGAGCTGGGCGGGGAGGCAAGACTAGTTATCAGGTCAGAGAGACGCTTGGCCCGTAAGTTGGTCCGCTTAAAAACCCATTACTTAATAAGGATTTGTTACACGCGATATGTTGACGACTTACTATTGGGAAACGTGGGTGCCGTAGAGCTTCTCATAGAAATACAAAAACGTATCGCCCACTTCCTACAATCCAGCCTAAACCTTTGGGTAGGCTTTGCAGGAACAACAACAATAGCTGCATGGAGTACGATAGAATTCCATATTTACCGTCATACGAGAAGTTCCTCCGAGGATGACTCCCATACAATTCTTGCGAGAGCTGAAGAAGCGTCTACGGGTAAAGCACCGTATCCATATAACTGCTTGCCACCTACGCTCCGCCATCCATTCAAACTTTACGAACCTAGGTAATAGTATCTTGATAAAAGAGCTGACAAAGGGGATGAGCCAAACAGGGAGTCTACTGGACGGGGTTCAACTAGCAGAGACTCTTGGAACAACTGGAGTAATCCGTCCCCAAGTGAGAATATTATGGGAGACCATCAAGCACATCCGGCAAAGATCAAGGGGGATCTCGTTGTTGCATAGCTCAGGTCGGAGCAACGCGCCATCGGACGTTTGATAGGCAGTTTCACGATCGGGCATGAGTGCCTAGAAGTTGCCATTGTATACTCCCGCGGGTCAGAAGGTGGTGGGGGAAAGAGGAGGACACTGGGCGGGATCTATCAGCAGCGAGTTCCCCATACATCTCGAGGCACCTACCAAAAACATACTCCAAAGGCTTCGGGATCGAGGTTGATGGTGTTATAACACATGCGAAAGCAATTTGGATCTTAGATTAGCTAGCATGTTCATAAGTTTGAGTACTAACCTTTTGTAGTTCAAATTCCTTTTTCCTCACGAACTGGTTTCGAACCACCACTAGTGTCTTCCCTACTATTCTCTGGCCTTAGAACAGGATTGTGGAATCCGGTGAGTGACTAAACTTGGAAGGGATTTAATATATGTAAAGAGAGAGTTTGTGAGGGTTTTTCTTAAGGTTTTTCTAAGAAACTTTCCATGTACCTTCATCACTCTATTTATAGAGTCATATTTGCATATTCATGCGAATTTGAGATACAAAATTTTGACACTTAAAATTCCACTCAAATGCGTGGGATTATGTGGCAAGCATGCCATTTTGAGTTAACCAAATTTTGACACTCAAAATTCTGCTCAAATTTGTGGGGCTTATTTGGCAAGCATGCAAGTTTTGTTAAACAAAACATTGATACTCAAAATTCCACTAACTCGAACATAGATTTTTTCATTAAGTGAAGTCAACATTTTGACTTTCTTCATTTTAATTCAACAATTAATTTGAATAATTAATTTCAAATTAAAGTAATATTAAATGATTAATTAAACTATTTAATTAATATTTAATATTAATTTAAATGCCAATCCCAATCAATTCCGACACATATTTGATTAAAATATTTAAATCTTATTCAAATATATCAAATTCTCTCTTTTTGTTTAATTCTTAAATAAAACAAAAATGTGGTTAAATATATCATATATATGTAGTGCATATTCCCTAATTTGAATTCGAACACTTCAAACTCACTCGTCACACTGTTCTATGGTTTAGTCCGATATGAGCTAGCAGAGGAACCTAATGGACCTATAGATCATGGGCTCCAACGATCCAAGATTAACCGGTTAAACTCATTAACCTTATTAACCAACACTCGTTAACTACTAGGACACTCCACTATAGCCTAGTAGTTGCACTCCCCTCACTATAGATATATTTCTGTCCATTTGATATAACCATGATTAGTAAGTTGATCCTTCATAGGTTGTTCGTAACTAGAACTGGGTCAATTAATCGTTTTACCCCTGAAGTTACTTCTTATTCCTTATATCCCACTGATTCTTTAATGAACAATTGGTTTGTGGTCCAACCAGTAAACTGAAACCCTCTCATGCCAATGAGAGGGTGGGACCCCTTTTTCAAGACCTGGAGTCGGTACTTAAGGGAACTACCTCTCTTCTATCCCTAAAAGTGAGTAGGAGTGAATTCCATCTTGCACCCCACGTCCCCAGCCATTCACCCAGTCTTACCCCTAAAATGGGAAGCCTATTGAATCGGCGAACTCGAGCCACTCTCACCCATCTGCATCTAAGGATAATATAGAATAAATAGGAGTTCATAGTTATCTAAGGATTAAGATCGAGTTACCTAGACCATCGAATGAAAAGAAAATCAATCTCAACAGTAAACGACATTATAAAGTGAGAGTGATTTTCTTCATGGTCCGATCTTATGCAATACTCATTACATAGGATGCCCCCACTCACATGTCTCCGCATGTACAATTTAGTGATCACATTGTTTATGTCATATACAAAAGTGGGTCGCATCCATAGTGTACCCAAGATAAGGTACTCAGCCTTATCCCTGTACTATAGATCATTTTGACTATATACTTGAACTTGATTCACTCTTATGTCTCTACATATAGTTCAAATAATCATACTATAGTTAGAGTGTTCTTAGTTTATTTGATTTAAATTAATAATCGTAAAATTCACTTTATTCAATATCAATGTTTACTTAATAAACATCAATAATAACTTTATTGAAAATAGAATATGTTTTTGTTTACAAACTATGAGTTTTAAGACATAAAACCCAACACCATGGTCCAATTAGCGATGCTCCTTCGTTGTCAGGTACACCTTGCGTAGGATGAGGGAAGGACGGGTATTTTTGTGGTATATTTAATGTGGTTGTCTTAAAATATTGAATGTCATGATACTGTATGATTTTGTGTTGTGTTGTGTTGTGATCTTATCAATGCATGTCTCTACGTTACGATTTATGTTTTCTTTTCCCTGAATTATATAGTAGAATATAAGGAATGTTATACATGAATCATAAAGTTAGATAGAATCATTTTCCTGGTTTCTAGAACCATGCCGCACAGAGGTCATAGAAGGGTAGGAGAGGGAGAGGACGACCTCCCATGAGGAGAGGGAGAAGAAGAGAAGCCGAAAGAAGCTCCTCCCAAGAAGGGTCGACTACTGAACCCTATGCGTTTGAACCACCTCCTAAATACGTACCTCCCCCACAAGCTGAACCACCTCCTGAATACGTACCTCCCCCACAAGCTGTACCCCCTCCTGAATACGCACCTCCCCAACAAGTCGTATCCCCTCCTGAATACGCACCTCCCCCACAAGCCGTACCCCCTCCTAAATACGCACTGTCCCCTCAAGCTCCACCACAGGCCGGGTTAGACCCCGCCACAAGATTAATGTTGGAGTCACTCCAAACGACAATGCAAACAATGCTGGCCACACAACAGGCCACGTTGTTGGCTATGCAACAAGTCGCAGCAATGGCCACGCAACCAGCCAACGTGACGGCCACGCAACCGGTGGATGCGGTGGCCATACAACCGGCCAGAAACCCGCAACCGGATGGGGGGCGAGTTGGTTAAAAGACTTCCGACGGTATAACCCCGTCTAATTATCGGTTCAAAGGAAGATCCCATAGTAGCGCATATATGGATCGCAAACATGGAAACGACCTTTGAATCAATGAGATGCCCTGATGAACATAAGGTGGCGTGTGCGGCGTACGTACTGCAAAAAGATGCAGAAGTGTGGTGGGCGGATAATAAACAGAGTATCAACCTGGGAGAGGGGATCAAAATGTGGGAAACCTTTAAGGAAGTCTTCCTGAAGTATTATTATCCAAAGGAAACCCCTATAAAGAAACAACAAGAATTTAACCATTTAACCTAAGGTGAACGCACGGTGGATCAGTATGATCAGGAATTCATGAGATTAAGAAGGTTTGCACTGTCACTAGCAGACACTAAAGAGAAACAGACGGATAAATTTGTGTTGGGGTTGAACCCAAAGACCCGCCGCATGTTGGAGGCCTTTAACCCGAAAACTTACGAAGAGGTCCTGAAAATGGAAAAGTTTTGGGACCTCATGCATTATGTGTGCTCATGCATTTGTGGGGATACCCCTTTCCCATCACGAGGGTATGGACGCGTACATCCAATGGCAGGACAACTGATATGTGGAAATCACTACAAGGGGAGTAAGATTCGGATTACTTTGTTGATCGAAAATCTCAAGGCAAGAACATTGTTTGAGATTCGAATCACTCCACAAGCAAGATCGATCATGTCTAGCTTGAATGATTTTTGTTGATCAAATATCTCAATGCAAGAACATTTGATTGAGATTCGAATCACTCCACAAGCAAGATTGATCATGTCGAGCTTGAATGATTCTACATGCAACCTAAACTACATAGAATTGCAAAGAAACTTAGTCATTAGCTAAAGAATAGCACAAATGCTTCTTTTACTATATTTTCCAAGTCTAATACAACATACATGGCTTTATATAGCCTAAAAAATGAAACTATTAAAAGCATTCCAAGAGTTGTAACATTCATACTTAATGGTCATAATTAACCATTATGTGATTGTAACCTAAAGTAAATTAAAAGTCTTAAAATACAATAACTCTAAATTGTAACCCACCAAAAATTTATAACCATCAAACTTCATTCCTCTTCAATGTGGCATGAATTGCAACATCTTTTGATAATTTTGACAACATTTTCTTCACATCTTCATTGAAGTATATTGTATGATTGATGTCTCTTGGTTCATATCATTCTCCACTTCTTCAAGAGGATTCGTCCTCGAATCTATTTGTGAAACTTTGCTGCAAAAAATAAGATATGGAAATACAAAGGACCTCACAACAATCGCTCACGTGTATACACTTAAGGATTTTTTTTTAGGCCACTCTGTTTGCACTCATTTACACATATGAAGCTCTCAATCTCACCTCTCAAAATTTTGAATACAGCAAAGATTGAATTTTGAACTCTGGGTCGATTAAAATCTAAAAAGATAAAAGTAAATAAAAATCAAATTGAAAAAAAATGCAAAGGAAACATATATCCGATCTTGAGCCTGAAGCTCTGATACCAAATGATATGTGGAAATCACTACAAGGGGAGTAAGATTCGGATTACCTTGTTGATCGAATATCTCAAGGCAAGAACATTATTTGAGATTCGAATCACTCCACAAGCAAGATCGATCATGTCTAGCTTGAATGATTCTTGTTGATCAAATATCTCAACGCAAAAACATTTGATTGAGATTCGAATTGTTAGGGATCGATACCAGTCGTTTGCTCTGATACCAGTTGTTGGGATCGCACAACAACGCAAACGCTTCATCTAGATGAACACAAAGAATGGGATAGAGAAAAGTGCAAGGAGAACTCTGGCTAAATGGATTTTTCTATTGATGACTTCAGATATGTACAACAAGAGAGAGTACAGAGAATAGAATAGAAAGTACATTTTCAAAGCTCTACCGGACCAGATATATATATGGTATAGTTTACTATATATACCTTTACTATATATAGCTTTACCAAATATAGCTTTACCGGATATAACCGTTGACCAAGCTATAGATAAGTATCAGGCTCCATAGCCTAACAATTCTCCCACTTGGAGACTGATCTAGTCAACCAAGAATTTCACTCTCAAACGACCATGAGCATCCACTGCACCATACCAATTGAGGTTTTGCACAACCTCAATATTCCAACATCAACACATTTTGTCAACATGTTTGCTGGATTCTTTGCACCCTCTATCTTCTCAAAACACATCACCATCTTCAACTAACCTCCGAGTGAAATAGTATCGCCTTCTGTGTTTTGAATGATAGACCGGGTTTCTCGCCAACAGCATGAGTCTCAGGAGTTTCTTGAGTATCTGCTACAACATCACTATGTGAATCTTTCAGCAACTCAACCTCAACTCCCACTTGCTTCACCTCTGGTTTCTCAGCAAGAGTCTCAGGAGTTTCTTGAGTATCCGCTACAACATCACTCTGTGAATCTTTGAGCAACTCAACCTCAACTCCCACTTGCTTCACCTCTGGTTTCTCAGCAAGAGTCTCAGGAGTTTCATGAGTATCCGCTACAACATCACTCTGTGAATCTTTGAGCAACTCAAAACTCCCACTTGTTTCACCTCTGGTGTTTCAGCAAGGGTCTCAGGAGTTTCTTGAGTATCCGCTACAACATCACTCTGTGAATCTTTGAGCAACTCAACATCAACTCCCACTTGCTTCACCTCTGGTTTCTCAGCAAGAGTCTCAGGAGTTTCTTGAGTATCCGCTACAACATCACTCTGTGAATCTTTGAGCAACTCAACATCAACTCCCACTTGCTTCACCTCTGGTTTCTCAGCAAGAGTCTCAGGACCATGCAACCTCCTCTGGAGTTTCAGCGACGCTTCCAGCCGACGCAACCTCCTCTGGAGCTTTAGCGACGCTTTCGGACGACGCAACCCCCTCTAGAGCTTCAGCGACGCTTCCGGCCGACGCAACCGCTCCTGGAGTTTCAGCGACACTTCCGGTCGATGCAACCTCCTTTGGAGTTTCAGCGACGCTTTCGGCCGACGCAACCGCTCTTGGAGTTTCAGCGACGCTTCCGGCCGACGCAACCCTCCCCTGGAGTTTCAGCGACGCAACCCCCTCTGGAGTTTCAGCGACGCTTCCGGACGACGCAACCCCCTCTAGAGCTTCAACGACGCTTCCGGCCGATGCAACTCCCTCTGGAGTTTCAACGCACTTCTGGCCGACACAACCCCCTCTGGAGTTTCAGCGACGCAACCCCCTCTAGAGTTTCAGCGACACTTCCAGCTGACACAACCTCCTCTGGAGCTTCAGCGACGCTTCCAGGCGACGCAACCCCCTCTGGAGCTTCAGCGACGCTTCCGGACGACGTAACCCCCTCTAGAGCTTCAGCGGCGCTTCCAGCCGACGCAACCTCCTCTAGAGCTTCAACGACGTTTCCGGACGACGCAACCCCCTCTGGAGCTTCAGCAACGCTTCCAGCTGACGCAACCTCCTCTGGAGCTTCAGCGACGCTTCCGGACGACGCAACCCCCTCTGGAGCTTCAGCGACGCTTCCGGACAACGCAACCCCCTCTTGAGCTTCAGCGACGTTTCTGGCCGACGAAACCGCTCCTGGAGTTTTAGCGACACTTCTGACCAACCCAACCCCCTCTGGAGTTTCAGCGACGCAACCCCCTTTGGAGTTTCAGCGATGCAACCCCCTCTCGGGAGTTTCAGCGACGCTGCTTCCGGTACTTTCCTTCAATTCTCTAGCAGTCTTTGTGAAGCTAACTCGTTTCTGTTTGCTCGTAACGTAGTTCTCACAAGGACTCATAACAATCTCCGCATCAAATACACCTTGTTCATAGCCGATGGTTTTCCGTACATATTCGACAGCGCCTTCATCAGATCTGACGTTGTCTTCTCCTTGATGATGTTAAACGCCACGTTTCTGGATAGCGTCAACCGGATCATCCCTAAGGCTTGTCAATCCTTGAGCTTCCATTGTTTCGTGGTCATGGTATCCGGCTTCACCCCCAACAGAGGTTCGTGAAGATCTTTCTGGTACAAATAATCTTTAATCTGCATCTTCCAGAAACCGAAGTCGGATCCATCGAACTTCTCAATTCCAATCTTTGAACTTTCCATCTTCACAGATCGTGGTGAATTTTGCCTGGCTCTGATTTCCGCTTGGCTCTGACTTCCGCCCGGCTCTGACTTCCGCCTGGCTCTGACTTCTGCCCGACTCTGACTTTTGCCCGGCTCTGACTTTCGCCTGGCTCTGATACCAGTTGTTAGGATCGATATCAGTCGTTAGCTCTGATACCAGTTGTTAGGGATTGATACCAGTCGTTTGCTCTGATACCAGTTGTTGGGATTGCACAACAACGCACACGCTTCATCTAGATGAACACAAAGAATGAGATAGAGAAAAGTGCAAGGAGAACTCTGGCTAAAAGAATTTTTCTATTGATGACTTCAGGTATGTACAACAAGAGAGAGTACAGAGAATAGAATAGAAAGTACATTTTCAAAGCTCTACCGGACCAGATATATATATGGTATAGTTTACTATATATAGCTTTACCAGATTTAGCCATCTACTATATATAGCTATGTACCATATATAGCTTTACCGGATATAGCTTTACCATATATAGCTTTACTATATATAGCTTTACCAAATATAGCTTTACCGAATATAACCGTTGACCAAGCTATAGATAAGTATCAGGCTCCTAGCCTAACACGAATCACTCCACAAGCAAGATCGATCATGTAAAGCTTGAATGATTCTTGTTGATCAAATATCTCAACGCAAGAACATTTGATTGAGATTCGAATCACTCAACAAGCAAGATTGATCATGTCGAGCTTGAATGATTCTACATGCAACCTAAACTACATAGAATTGCAAAGAAACTTAATCATTGGCTAAAGAAGAGCACAAATGCTTCTTTACTATATTTTCCAAGTCTAATACAACATACATGGCTTTATATAGCCTAAAAAATGAAAGTATTAAAGGCATTACAAGAATTGTA